ACCTTGCTGAGCGTGCACTGGAGTGATGGGTTGTCCTTCTAGAAAACAAATTCTGCTCCCTTTACTGCCTTATTTTGTTATTATAATGCCCGGATATTACACTGCAAATTGTGGCTGCCATCTCACCATACAAGGTGCTGTATAAATAAGAGAATAAAAGCCCTGTCACCCACGAAAGCTGCTGGAAAGAATTAACAATTCCTTGACTACAAGTTTGTTTTTCCCAGCCCTCCTCATGCACATCCCTGCAATGCGAAGAGGCAGCTTGTTCTTTGGCCAGCATCACCTAAAGCTACATGAACATTTTAGACTATCTCACTTCTGATTACGGTAAGTGGGAATTTTTCACCCCTAGAATCTCACCCTGAAGCATAAAACCCCACTTAGTGATGACGAGGATCTTCTTAAGGACACCGTGAAAAATATGCTACCTAGTGTCAGAGGTTGCACAAAGACCATTAACCGCTGCAAACAGATCAAACACCAGCTAATATATTTCTACAGCTGCATGACCCATATTTGAGAGCAGGTTTAAAAAATAAAGGCAAGTAGATCAATCATTAGCCTTTAATAAATCTTTGCAGATATTTCACCTTTTTTTTTTGTGGCAAACCCTTTAGACACTATTAATTCTCACCCCAATTTTAATGAATGGCTGTGCCAATGCTTAACCTTAAGAAGCCATGTAAAATGAATTATTACTGATGATTAATTATGCCATAATAGACCAATAAGAGCAACCTTTATTTCAGCCACTGATTAAATTAATTAAAATTGACTTCAGTACACAGTTTACTGTTTATACCGCTACTTGCACATAACAAAATTATTTTTGCCATTTTTGCTAAAATGTAAATGTCGTACTTCACATTAGACCAGTGAAAGCATTTACCTCCTGCTTAAACTTAATGAACATTCATTGTATTAGACTATCCATTATTTCTATCCAACCACTCACAAATCAAGAGTTTTAAATTACAGGTCACTTGTATCCTTTCTGAAATTCCCATTTAAATGGGAGCATTTAAGAAAGGCAAAGAAATTATTTTAATTCAAATGAAACTGGTATTCCTTGATATTAATTCATCCAACAAGAAACGCCTAGTTTGGATGCCCAAAAGGACTTAGAAGACAATGAGGGGAAAAAAATAGCAATCATTAATATCTATTAAAAAACAAAACTCAAGAAGTCATATATTCAAATAATATGAATCACTGTGCTCACATTTAAGTTTATTGCACTGTACCTACAACTGTGAGATCTATTTGGATTTAATAACTTCAAATCTGGCACAATGAAGGGCACGTATTTCTTTCTTACAGATAATACTCCTTGGAGAGGTTTTTCCTCATTCTGGGAGATTTCCAGGCTTGCTAAGGGAGAGAGGCACAGGACTGTGGCTGAAAGCACAAGTTACATAAATTCAACCTAGAATAAAATGACATTTCCTAACTGTGAAGGATAAATACCTGATATTATCTATCTTCCTAAAATGCATTAATCCAAGGTTCTGGGGTGAATCCTGGGGTCTGCAGTTGCAGGAGGCCATCAGAGTTGGACATGGTGGTGAATCCATGAACCTATGGCTCTGCCCATCATTCCTGTCCTGTACAAGCTTTACAGAGAACATCACTTTTGTAACATCCAACACTCATAACGCTTTCCAGCTCTCATAAAGGCAATGACTACTCAGCTCTTATGCTTTGGAGCTTCAACTGCTCAGCAAGTAGGATCCCCCCCAGCCCCTCTGTAAAACTAGCCAGAGATATTCTTTGCCTTTCTTTCATTTTTGCCTTCCACTGGAGCACAGACTCCCCCATAGCAGAGAGTGCTCCCCTTAGCACTGATGGCCTGGTGCTCTGCGTCTGGCTACCAGGGTCCAAAACGCAGATGAGGGAATGAAAAGAGCAATTCACAAGGAGGAGTATAGGTAAGGGATCATGTCCCAGAGATGCAGCCATTTAGGTCTGGAGGGTAATAGAGTTCAACAGGCAAATACCTGCTGTGAGCCAGACTCAGTGCCACAAAATGGTCCCAGGCATATTTAATTTATCAATGTACAAATATATAACATTAATAGTAATAATAGTAATAATAATAATAATAATAATAATAATAATAATAATAATAATAATAATAATGATGATAATAATAATAATAATAATAATACCTTCCTGGCCACTTAGGTTTTTCAGCATCCATATGTACCTGTAATTTCATTGCAAAACACACTTAAATATGAAATATCTGAAGTTCTATGAAGTATCGAAAGTTCTTTTAACCTCCTCCATGTCTATAAGTGTCAACATCTTGGCTGGGGCCATGTTGTTTCCCTTGATTGCCTTCTGCCCAAACTGAGGATGCGATGTGTTATGTCATTTTGGATTCACCAGATCTAACTTCCAAGGTCTAACAATCAGGCATACAGTAAAAGCTAGTCACCTAGACTCCTAGATATACATGTATATTATATCTCTTAAATGCTATTCAGTAAAGCCTTATCCGTAGTATTTTGGACTACAAAGCCTCTCCAACTCCAATCTACCTGTTCTGATTTCTTCCATGACATTTGTTAACAAACACTGTGACAATCTAATTAGCCGTTTACCCTCCTGTGAGACAGTCTTGTTACTTTGTTGAAAAGTACCCATTCCTTTAGGGCTACATCATAAGCTTGCCAAAATCAAATACTTAAATAAAAAAAAAATATCTAATTCATTTAGAAGAGCAACTTACTGATTTTAATTCCTTCACTAGTCTTAAAAATACCTACTATTAATGTCTCTCCTCTCTTTATACGTGTGTGCATGTGTACATTAGTACATATGTCATTACTGGGCTGGAAAATAAATAAGGACCACATGAACCCTCCAAATGTGTTCTACACAAAAATGGAGTATAACTGTGTGAATGATGGACTCTGTGTATTATAGGTATGTGAGCTAGCACACACTCTTTGAGTACCTATAATGATTATAAGATCAGAGATGTATGTTGTTGGAGGATGTATGGTTATGTATGCTCATATAAAATTAACCTCTGCTAAATTTTATCTTTTCCTAAGCCTGACAGAAGTCTAGACTCCACTATGCCCTGGACCAGCTGTTATCACTCACATGAGAGCCTCTCCTTTATAAATACAATGATCTTGTATATCAAATGCTGACTTAAGGAGGGGATAAAAAAAAAAAAAAAAAAAAAAAAAAAAAAAAAAGACTTTCATTTAGCAAGCTTATATTAAAAATTAAAGGATGTTAATAAATACTGCGTCTATAAGCTGGTCTAAATCTATCTAAAATGCCCCACAGTGAAGTCTTACATCAGTTATTATTGAAACATTAAATGCTTTTCTTACAGGCTTACAGCAATCAATTTAACTTTCAGTCATCTTGTACCCATATGTGCTGCTCCTGTTGATGAAATGGCTATTAATAAAGGAATAGATGGCTATGAATTAAAGCAAGCTCTACTTAATCACATTAATCCAGAGTATGTTAAAGGCTTCAATTTTCTAAATAATTTTGGGCTTAATGCCTCTGAGATGGGCAGACTGTTCTATTGATGCAGCATCTGGTCCAATTTAAGCTGCATTGTGAAGGAGGAATTGTTAGGCCCTTGCAAAAATAAGGAAGACTGACAGTTTTAGGGATGCAACCAAAACTGCTACAGCTGAGACAAAAGATACTGCAAGATATTGAAAAAGACCTACAACAATTAAAAGGCAGCCCACTGCTCTGCAAATGCAACTCTACTGTTCAGTGAATTGTATATGATTAACTTACTCTTACTGATGGGATGAGTACTCCATACACTTAACCATCACTGTATTTTCCAGTCATTGAACATCCAACAGCTGCTGCTGTGAAATATGTTCACTTACCCATTACATTGGGTTACCAATTAGAGAGGAATTATTTAAAAGGGAATGGCACAACCACTAACACCACCCTTGCATAAGCAGTAATTTCTGGCTTCATTTTTTTTTCCCTGAGGTTCTTTTTTATTATTATTTTGGTTATGTCAAGGTAGTAGTTTTACAATGAAATAAGATTTACCTTGTCTTGGAGCACTGCAATACTGCTGCATTCAATTAAAGAGATAGAGAAATAGTGTTTTTAATACTTCTAGGGGAATAAAAAACCTTTGTAGGAGAATTAGGTATTTTAGAACATTTCTGCAGCAGAAGGATCTTTTTCATATGGAATTTTCATAAAAGATCTTTAATGAAGGAGACAGTGAATATGATATAGACCTTCCAGCGGGAGAAAAAAAAATGTGTTACTTTTCCGTTGTAATTACATTTTTCTTATATTTAATATATGAAAATACTGCAACTTTGGGGGAGAAGATCCAGATCTTTTTATTTCCTCAGTAGCTCTGTTACAAATGAAAACTAACTGCAATGAAGCTAGTGCATCTGCAGAATACATTCAAGTACAGAACTAAGCCATCAAGTTGCATTCTGCAGAAGTGTAAAAATCTTTGTCTGAAAATGTATTTCAGGTTAAATTTCCTCTTTTCATTAAATAACCAGAGCAGACTTGGGGAAGAGGGGGAAAGGGCTACATAGGTATCATCACCTATTGTTAAATTTGCACAATTAAAAAGTACCCAAGGAAGATTTTACGCAATACACTTAAGTATTTACTTCTGCATCCTACAAGACTAGAAAGAAATCAGAATTTAAAAACAGAGATTGAAAATGATGTTTAAAGTAGAATGTTCTGATACACGGTTCATTTTCAGCTGAATAAAACTATGTAGATATATAAATATGTACATGCATCAGTTGAAATACTCTATTACTAAAGGCAATTAAAGAAAAAAATATGTATTTCTTCTTGTTACCTACTCTTTCCTCCAACACTCAGTACCAGAAAAATCCACATAGCTGTAGATTTCAAAGCACTTTATATGATAAGATAAAGTATTCCTTTTTTAAAAAATGAGGACAATAGGCAGGAAGAGCTGAAGGTCACCCAAGTCAACCTTGGAGCCAGGAATAGAACGAAATCAGCTGAGTCTCAAGGTAACAGCCCAGCTGAGGCGCTCCTCCTGCCTTCTGCAATATGTTCTGCTCCAGAGAGCTGCCAGGAAAAGACCAGCATTCAAACCACTGCTGAGGAATATGAAAGGCGAGAGCAACAAAAGAGAAGAAAGCTCACACCGACCAAGACTGTGGTGCTGCACGAGGGAAACTTCCGTTCCTGGTCTGGGGTATGAGGGTAATTAAATGGGAAGATCTTCCCCTACTGCCTTCAGGAAGAAGTTTCATTTGTGGGAGGGGTTCCGAAAGAGGAGAGGAAGGTTGTGTTGTGGGTGTAAGTGACAACTGCAGTGGCAGTTTGGGGATTCTTGGAAGCAGTGAGAAAAGACGGAGTTATCTTCTCATAACTTTCTTTTAAAAGTTATCTGAAAAAGTTGTATGTGATCTTTACCTGATACAATGGGAGCAATAGCTCTGCTAGGCAAGATGTTCCTTCAAACTCTGTCATCCTTCTAATTAAGAGCTATTAAATATGCCTAAGTACAAATAAATAACCACTTACCGTGCCAGTGATATAAAAAGAATTCATATCCAGGTATAACACTATGGCAACTGCTTTTGTAAGATACTCTTTGACACTCTGGCAGAGCGGCTCCTATTTAACAATTCTAATGCAGAAAGATGAGAATAAAAGAGGCAAAAAGCAACTGAGTGGTATCACTGCTCACAGTTCAATTGTTTTGATGAATTCTGCCCTCACATGTTATACGAACATATCTTGTGTAGACAAATTCTATTTCATGGTAACAATGAGTCTGCATGGAGAAAAGTCTATTATCATATTGAAAATAAAGGAATTAGAGAAGAATCCAAGGCAGTAAATAGATGAATATGCAGTAAGACACTTGGCTCTGTAGTAAATAGGTCTGCAGAATTTGCCTTCCATATCTGTTGTGACACTATTTATTTCTGTACCTTTAATATAAGATCAAAATGGCCTATTACAAGAGCAGTAGCAACAAATTAAGTTTTTCTGTATTTTTTTCCCTTTTTAATTAATTATTTTCCATCACTTCCTGTAAGAATCATCCTTCCATCAGGCTTTAGAAATAATTCTCTTTATTCTGTAAAGTTCCTCAAAGCCACCCTGCTGTAAGAAAAAAAAAAAGATACTGCTCATCATTACAGGCTATGGTGGGGTTCAGTGTATGTGAATCTCTGGGAAAGACCAGGAAGAGTATTTTGCTCCTCCTAGATAATTTGATCTGAAGCGGTAGGAGCTGGTACCAACACATTGCACACCTTTGGTGTGCTAGCCCTCAGATCAAATGCCAGCTCAGGAAGTTTGAAACCTGGATCCCAAACATCCCACAAAATAAAGGATCTACATCTCTAAAGCACTATCCTACATACCAGGCCTAGAGGATAACCTCAAGAAGCATTTTCATTACTTGTCATTTTGAAGCAAGGCCAGTGTGTAGCCACAAATGCAAGATTCATAGAGCTTGATGGGAAGCTTGTTTTCTTCTGATGATTAAGACAACCTAACACCTAACCCTTTTATTTTACAACAGCTTCATGCCAGATATATTGACAAATCTGATGGCCTTCTGCAACAGGGTTACAACATTGGTGGATAGGGGAAGAGCAACTGACAGCATCTACCTGGACAAATGGAAAGCATTTTACAGTGTCCCACACGACATCCTTGCCTCTTCATTGGAGAGACATGGATTTGATGGATGGACCACTCGGTGGGTAAGGCACTGGCTGGATGGTCGCACTCAAAGAGCTGCAGTCAACGGCTCAGTGTCCAAGTGGAGATCGGTGATGAGTGGTGTTCCTCAAGGGTCAGTATTGGGACCGGCGCTGTTTAACATCCTTGTCAATGACATAGTGGGATCAAGTGAACTCTCAGCAAGGTAGCTGATGACATCAAGCTGCGTGGTGCAGTCAGCATCCTGGAGGGAAAGGATGAGATCCAGAGGGACCTGGCCAGGCCTGCAAGGTGGGCTCGTGTAACCTCATGAGGTTTAACAAGGCCAAGGGCAAGGTCTTGTGTCTGGGCTGGGGCAATCTCAAGCACAAACACAGGCTGGGTGGAAAATGGATTGAGAGCAGCCCTGAGGAGAAGGACCTGGGAGTTGTGGTTGATGGGGGAGGGGATTCTCCCCCTATGCTCCAGGCCCAGCACCAGGAGGATGTGGAGCTGCTGGAGAGGGCCCAGAGGAGGCCCCGAGAAGGAGCAGAGGCTGGAGCCCCTCTGCTCTGGAGCCATCTGAGGGAGCTGGGGGTGTTGGGCCTGGGGAGGAAAAGGCTCCGGGGAGACCTCCCAGTGGCCTGCCCAGGCCTGAGGGGCTGCAGGAGAGCTGGGGAGGGACTCGGGGTCAGGAGGTGTAGTGATAGGTTAACAGGCAATGTCTTTGAACTAAAAGAGGGGAGATTTAGATTGGATATAAGAAGAAATTCTTTACTATGAGGGTGGTGAGGCACTGGCACAGGTTGCTCAGAGAAGCTGTGGGTACCCCATCCATGGAAGAGTTCAAGACCAGGCTGGATGGGGCTTTGAGCAACATGGTCTAGTGGGAGGTTTTCCTTCCCATGGGGGTTGGAATGAGATGATCTTTAAGGTCCCTTCCAACTTAAATCATTCTATGATTCTATGATTTGTTTCTGTACCCATCACATTTCTATTTTGGATTTCATGTTGCTGCATGTTCAGAAGCAGAAGAAAGTAGAGGTCCTCTCCCCATCCAAAATCTGAGCTACTTAATTCATGAAAATTAGATCCTACTGTCTTGTCCTACTTGTCCGGTGCTTTCAAGCTAGGTGGCCTAAATTCAGCTCACAGATTAAGTGCACCAGATCCCAATCTGTATTTTTTCATTTAGTTTTAGCTTCACTTAAAGATTTCTGAATGGATCACAAAGGCAGGCTGGGAGACTGCATTGTGAGTGGAGAACTCATTACACATTACTTCTGTCTTTGTACACCTTTGAAGACCTGCAGAAGGGCTAAACTGTCCCTGAACAAAGAGGAATGAGGAAAGAAATAAAATGAAGCCATTTGTTAAATCAAAATAAATGAAGCAGTGAAAAATAATGGTCCCATCTGCACCTACCACTGGTTCAGGGTCAGTTCTGTTGAAGAAAAGTGCAATGCCAAAAATTGAAAAGAAGAATGCAATAGAACCCTGTCCATTTTCCTCACCATACATAGTTCATAATAATAATAATAATTAATAATAATAATAATAATAATAATAATAATAATAGTATCTAACTCTCTTGCAGTGCTGTGTATCTTCAAAACATTGCACAAATAGGACTTGAATGTAAATTATTTTTCCAAGATTTTCTGCTACTCGGTATCCACTTTCCTCCTTTATTTTATCGTCACATTAACAGACTGAGACAGATTTTTTTCCTGATGTAACACCATTGACAACAGCAGAATTATGTCTAGGATCAACCTGGCCCAATTTATTACTGTTTTAATAGACGATAAGAGTATTATAATGGTGTTCCACTTAAGTTGGAACAAAGAATTTTCACAGCATTCAGCACACATAATGACATGATTAAACCCTGTATCCTTTTAAACCCTGTATCCTTTCCAGGAAATCCAAACCACTATAATTATAAAGAGAAAAAAAAGAGAAAAAAAAAAAAAAAAAAGGAAAGACGTAAACAATGTGTAATCATGATAGTTGATGATATTACAAACTTTTGGTTTAGTACATAGTACTTGTCCCCTTCCCAGGATGAATAAAGAAATGTTATAGCCAGAACAAATTATGACCTCCTGAATAACACATGCCAGAGAATTTAAACCATAACCTCTATCGGATGAGAAAAGTTTTCTTTCACAGTTGCAAACCTAATAACTGATGGCTAAGATTAGTATATTTTGGAAAGGTAAACAAATCCTACTTTAAAGCTTCACAGCAATGGCAACTTTTTACCTTTTTTGCAATCCCTTCCAACCTTTATAAGTAAGGAGGTATATCTTAACCAAGGCCACCAGCAATGATGCAAGCTTTAGCCTCAATGTACATTTCTACCGCTTAAGCTGGCTTCTAAGCTGAACAGAGCAGCTACTCTCCTTGCAGAGAAGCAAGGTAAAGCAATTGCCACAGCTCCCTGCAGCAGTCACGCATGAGTATCCATAAGCAGCTGAAAGGATCTCCATTTGCTTTGCCTCTAGAAAGACTGAACCTGAAGGGAGGCACAAGAGGGGAGGCAGAGTTGTTATAATGGAGTCACAAATTGCTCAGCAGTGCCTACAGGCGATGCAGCCTTTCTGCATCTCTCCCCAGCGAGCACCGTAAGTTTCCTAACATGCACACCTACTCCCCGCTCCCAGCAGCCTCTCACCTGTGCTAAAAAACTTCTGCCATCTCCATCCAGTTGAACCTGTGACATTTCTGAACATACACATAATTACTATACCTCTAAGAAAAATGTGTTGAGTTTCACCCATTACGCCTATACGTGGTCCTTTGACTTCTTCACACTGAAATCTTACTACCTAATGACAAGCACTGGGACATCACATTCTGCATCCAGCCAGCTGACCTCAGGCTATCTGTGATAGAAGCCCTCTTCTCCCTGCTTCTCCCAGAGGTGCTACAACTGATGCAACCAAGCGCTCAAGAGGCTCATATACCATTAGAAACAGGCATGAGTGAGTTGGGTTGGCAGGGACCTTATAGACCATCTCATTCCAACCCCCAGCCATAGGCAGGGACACCTCCCACCAGACCAGGTTGCTCCAAGCCCCATCCAACCTGGCCTTCAGCACTTCCAGGGATGGGGCATCCACAGCTTCTCTGGGCACTGGCTTATCATAGACGATAATGACAGCTTATCAGAGTGATTACAGTTCTCTTATTGTTTCCTTTAATTTCTCCAACTGTCTGTAGCAATCTGTTGTCTTTTCTCTTAGTTTATATGAAAGCTTTGGGGATAAAGGACTTTATTTCTTCTGTGCTTTACCCAGCAAGGTCATAGTCTGTGCCAAGTTTAGTATTTGAAAACATTAATGACATTTTTTTAAATATTTTTGCTCTACTGCTGTACTATAATAGCAGAAAGTAAACTGTACAGACTTTATGGAAATGTGACATTCGAACAGAATCACTCAAAGGCATTTCAGCTATAATTAACATTTTTCACTTCTTGCAAAGAAAATAAAAATAGTTTCTAATTGAATCACTTCCCTGAATAAACTTTGGGTAAAACCAAGTGAGGAACTCATAGACAAAAAAAATAAGGTTAGTCGCGTCTTTTTTTTTTTTCCTAGACAGATTTGATCTGTGCATTAGCACTGTGGGCACATGTGTATGCAAGCACTGTCACAGTATATTTTTGCACTCAGTAATAGGTACAAAAGTGTCTCCAGGCATGCAACCACATGCAGAGTCGAAGGGGTAAAGCTGATAATTCCTTCTTGCTTCTTCACAGCCAGAAAACTCCTAGGATCCCTGGAGTGAAAGGGACTGGATGTAAAGGGTTGTCAGTATAAACAACATACCTCAAAAAAAGATCAGAAGAAAAAAAAAATGGTGGGGCAGTCCAAATCATTCACTAATTTTCTCAGTCTAAAATAATTGATAGTAAATAGAAAAAGCCTAGGATTACTCTCTGGCCATAAGGCCAACTGCACAACAGAACACATCTCACTACTAAACATTTTAACATTTTAACATTTTATGCTCCACAAGAGGGTTTATGCATCTGCACTGCTTTTGGGTTTGAACATCTCTACCATATTAACCATCAACTGTGGCTGGGAATTGTCTGGGAGAGGCTGTGACCACATCAGGGACAGCCAAAGCAATCGAGCGGTATGGCTGATCCCATACCAATACCCAAATCTGTGCCCTGTTCAGTTTGCTGACATAAATATAGCCTGTGTGTAGCTATGACAACTCTTCCTGGGATGTCACTAGTGTTGATAACAAAGAATCCATCCTGAGAAGCTAAAGAGGAGACATCCTTTGAGGAGACTTCACCCTGCTGATGTTTTTAAGAGTGTCTGCAGCTCCAAGTGGACGGTCTATCTGAGGCAGGCAGCTGCTTCTCCTTTTGAAGTACAGGTTTAAGGCCAGATACCTTAGATGGGCCACTTTGTCCATATCAACAGGCTGAAGAGATTTCCTTGATGTGGAAATGAGGTACTCTCTCAGTGCTGCTGGTGGTCGCAGTTCACATGCAATTTCAATCCAGTGTAGATAAATGACAGCAACTATTATAACTGCGGGGTAAGAAAGAAGAACACCTCCTGCCAGCAGCGTTGTGCGTGAAGCACACCAGGGAGGCTGATGCCATGTGATGTGCGGCCATGAAGAAAAATCTCCTTCCTTGGTGCCAAAGTGAAAGCCTCCAAAGATGTTGTACAGAAGTATTTCAAAGCAGGAACTGCTCAGAGAAAAAAAAATCAAAAAAAAAAAAATCTAGTATTTTCAGATCCCCTGCAAAGGATCTGCTCTTTATTTTTTCCCCATTACCTTGCTTTTCCCCATTTCCTAAATAACTTGTTTTGTGCTCTGCTGATAGTACAGAAATGCATCATGTCACTATGGAATACTCGTTAGTAAGGCAGACGGTTTGTAAAGCAAACAAACCTCTCTTTACTTGCATATACTCCTCAGAAGAAGTAGTTAATTCCCAGACACATTGATGACTAGCTGCTAAGAAATAACCTTTAGCAAAATCTTGGCTATCTACAGCAATTTCACTTTGAAACTTCCCAAACAGTTTGAGCACTAGAGTCAATGAAACCACGATTTCCCCCTCTATTTGTGAATGCCAAAAATAAAGTCATATTAAATAGATAGGTAAATTACTACAGAAAAGGTCATCAGCAATTATTGATACGAAATCACTAATACCTGGGAGCTGGGAGGTATATGAAGACAAACTCATGCCTACTTCTGCTGAAGTAAATTGATTAAATGGATCCTTGATGTGAAACAACACAGGAGTTTCATTTCAAGTAGTCAAATACTTTCCAGTTATTTTCTCCCTTTTTTTTTTTTTTTTTTTGACTTTTTATATCTCAGAAATTTCCACAAGGATAGCTTAAATGAAAGGAGATTTGGTTCCAGATTGGGGTCCCAAATAAGCATTGGAGTGACCTCAGGCAATGGCTAACATACTTTGTTAAACAAATCCTGGATCCCTGAGTCAAGAACGGGTGCTCCAGCCTCCCCCTGCCCAAGCTGTAGGAGCAGGTCCCACACAGCAGGATACAATTCCTGTAAATTGATCTTGAAGTCAATGAATAAAAAGCAGACAGAGCCTGTGTATCAATTTTGCTCAGCTACTTTTGTCAGAAGCATCTTGTGTGGTTTGTGGACTATCCCTTGAGCTCTGGTGGTAAAAAATCTCTGCTGCAGTGTTAAATAGATCCAGCTGAGTCCTTCTGGTGATCTGTGATGAGGGCTGTTGCACCCTATTACCGTGGGGAAGTTTCCTACTAATGGAAACGGCAGATTTTTCATCACTTTGGGTCTTCAAATAAAAATTGGATAATAATCTTTTCAGAAGCTTGGGCTTTGTCGCTTACTACTGTAATTACCGTAGTACTTCGGGCACCCAACCAGACAGCATACAAATGTAAAGATGCTACCTAGCACTAAGTTCCAATGCTCCGTGTAGAAATTTGTAGGTGGCATCCTGCACCTCCTCTTACACCAGAAGTGTGACTCCATCATAATTTACACTTTATGCCAGCTTTACCATCTCTGCATTTTTAGTGCATCAAAGCATTTCAGACATTTTTGCCTCTTCTTAAAAAAAAAAACAAAAAAAAAACCTGCAGTGGACATACTCAAGTCCTAACCCACAGCAAATCATCACAATTAAATTGAAAGATGGCTTCCCTGAAGGAGACTTTGTTTCTTGCTTTTACCAAGATAAGCTAGGACTCTGTAAACAGACTGCTTGATCTCTCAGAAAATATTTCTTGCTGTGCACCGTTGTAATCTTTTCCTACTTTATGAGCTTTTTCCTCCTAAAATGCACCCAGAGGCTGACCCAAAAAATTAGCAATTTTTTGATTATTACATTTAATGGATGCCACTGTAGAACTGTGAAAAGCATGGCCTTGTCCTTTTCAAACTGAAATCTTTTTATTTTTTTTTCTTTGTTCAAGCCAAGTTGCCATTGTAAAATATAGTTCAATTTCTTTAATCCATCCCTGAAAACGTAGGAACAATATTAACTTTTTTACATTTTTTTCTTAATTTTTGTGAGCAATGCTGTGAACTCCATCACATTCTGTGTGTTGTTGTGTTTGTTTGTTTGTTTATTTTTGTTTGTTTTTTGGTTTTTGGTTTTGTTTTTTTTTTCAAAATCCTTAGGATCAGAGAATAATAGAATCATCTCTGTTGGAAAAGACATTCGAAATTATCAAGTCCAACCTTCTCAGAGCATCCTTTACCTGATGTTACTTCACTTCAAATGCAGAAACTGGGGCTATGGTGCACTATGAGCCCCAAGGGCTCTACTTCTCCAATCACTGGACCCAATTCTTGTCTCACCCTGAGAAACCCATGTGAGAGAGCGTGAGTCCACAAATGCTGGACAGAGCAGAACTCAACAATCATAAATTTGCTTATTATAAACTGAGATATAATACTCTTCTTGGGCACAGCTGAGCAAAAAGAAGAAAGCTAAACTCTTGCAATTAGATTTATTTTCTTCATTCATCCAAGACATAAAAACTGCACAGGTCCCTTGTAAAATTATTCCAAATCTGAATCATCAGAGTGAGACAATAAGCAATTTACAAACCTTTACATGTCAGCATAGGAACATGTTCTATTAAGGGAGTAAGTCAAAGTGAGTTGTGTTTATACACAGTAATTTCAGTACTCTCTCAATTTCAGGAAAAAATATACTCTCAGAAATATCCATGTTACCTCCACAGCATTTCAGCCACATGCCATTAAAAGAATGAAGGCTTCAGCTTGGGGAATGAGCAGTAGGAGCAGTAAAATAAAATAAGTGTACCAAAACAGACAAAAAGTACAGGGAGAATGCAACCCTCTTCCACCATATGCTCTACTCTCCCAACAGCTGTAGCTTCTCCCTGGTTTCTTTAATCTCCAGTCTCTGTTCCCATGACATTCTCTTGCCTGTTTTTAATCTATCTTTTCACTTGTAGTCTCACTTTATGCCTGACAAAAGTATTACATACCAAGAATGGTTATCATGTGTAGGAACACCCACAGGTAACCTCAGTAAAGTTACCACCTGTAGTAACTGTTCTGGGAGAACACTGCCATAGTGAGTCTTCATTTTTTTCTTTTCAAATGTTTCCATAGCAAAAAGAGAACACAAAGAAAAAGAAAAAAAAAAAAAAAACACTAACCATAATAGCAAAGTTGGGCACTTTTGTAACATCATTTTTTCACAAAAATTGTTACCATGACCATCATCATTTTTCTATGCCTAAAATGAGGAGCAGCTTCCCGGTGCATCCTCTTCTGTTTTCAGGCACAGTGACATGGTGAACATCACGATCTAAACCTGCATGGAGTCTTTTCTGGAAATGAAGGTCTTTGGGGAGCTTAGCATAGGCTTCAGGTTTTGTCTTAGACTTGTTTTGTAATGTGTCTTTCAACCTTTGGGGCTGTCGCATTTTCATCTTATATATATGTTTAATAAAACCAGGAGACAAGAAAGATGGAAACAACACATCTCAGTGGAATACAATTCAAATAAAGTTGTTAATAATAAATAATATATTTAGTATTTATACTGCTACTACTACCTAAGCCTGTGATTATAGGCAATGCTGAAGTAAATAGATATAATAACAGAGAATAGCAGTGAGGCTATTAGGATTTAAAATTTGCCACAAGGCACAAGCAGGTATCTAAATAATAAATATCAGTTTAATTTCTTCAAGCCCGAATCGGCCAATATATTAACCATGAAAAGTCAAACTCTGAAATGGAAATGTTAACTTAACCTTGAGTAAAGATGCAGCAGAACTCCCTAAACAGTGGCCACCATCCCTTGTGGACAGGGAGCTTTTTGTTTTTCAGCTAATGGTTGGTAAAAATATTTATTTTCCATTTTATTTTTAAATGATGAATTCACAGAACGTATTTCTGTATCCTGGTATACTAAGGCATAACGAGTCAACAAGAAACTCTTTTATTGAAAAAGAACATGTCAGTCCTGTCAACATCATCAAT